AGGACCGTTGCGTTGGAAGCGCTCCTTCTAGTTCCCGGATCCCAGGGAGGGGGCGGGAGAGCCTTGCGGCCAAGGCCTGAAGAAGCCCGTCCGGGGATCAGCCTCCTCCTCAGGCGGCCCAGGCTGAGACAGGTGTCCCGCTGAGGGCAGTGTAGGGCGCGCTGCCCCCCGCTTCGGGCCGGGACCGAGGCCGCCAGTGTGACCGTGTATCCCTTCAGGTGGGTTCTGCAACATGTGAACTTGGTTAAAAGCTTCTAGAACGTTAAGCCAAACATCGTGGCTTTCCATCTGTTTTCTGTTCTGGTTTGAAAAAGTTCGCCGCCTTCCAGCCTGGGAGGAGCGGCGGGGCCCGGGAGGGGCCTCGGGAGGCCGCTCGCAGGGACCCCCAGGGACTGGCCGCCCCGCCGCAGGCCGGGCGCACCTCCCGGGGAGAAACGAGCAGCGCCAGCAAACGCGCACCCGGGGACGCGGCCGCCCAGCCCCGCTCCCAGCCCGGGGCCCGGGCCCCCCTCCGCGGTGCAAACCCCCTCCGCTGCCCCAGCTGCCGGCAGTTTGGCCTGAGCTCTGCCGCTGTAGGTCGGTGCCCCTTCGCCCGTCCCTCAGGCCAGCTTGGAAACTGTGTCCCACGCTCCTCGAAACACCGGACCTGCCCCCCGCCGCCCTGCGGAATGCGCCCCCCGACGCCTCAGTGGGTGGCCGGACGAGAGCACAGGTGCGGCAGCCGCACCTCCCCACGGGTCTGACCCGCATGGACCCCGCCGCGCTCCGCTGAAACTGCTCGGGTCCCGCGCGTGGCCGGCGCAAGAGCCACAGCCCGCGACAAGCCTGCTGTGTGCAGGTCAGTGACAGAACCCCACATCAAAACTGCAGAAACCAACAGCCAGCGAATGAGCTGGTACAGCCAGAGGCCCCAAGGAGCTGAGGGAGCTCTGGCCTGTGGAGTCTCTTCTCACGTTTCCAGCATATGGGGAATGCTACACTGGGTCAGCCCCTGCCCCAGATCCTGCCCCGGCCTCCAGGCTCTGGGCTTTCCTCCCCTCTCTGGTAGCTTTTATCTCCATTGCAAGCCACTTTTTCCACTACTAGCAATTAAAAGCCTCCCTTTTCTCTCTACTCTCCCAAGAGACCTCATCCTCACCTGTGGACAGGTGGCCCCCTAGCTCTCTTCTGCAGCCCCAACCACTGTGTCCATCTACTTTCTTGTGTCCCTAGACATAAAGGTACCCAAAACTTCCAGAGTGCTGAAGCCACACCTGGCCTTTCCCAGGGGCCCTGGTGACTGATCCCACCATCCATCACCCGTCACCAAAGTGGAATCCCCCTTGCAACTCACCAGTGCTTCCCTGCCCAAGCCTGGCAACCACACTCAGTGGGAAGGCCTTGGCAGTGGCTTTCTTGACCCCCCCAGCTGCTCCCAACCACTCAGCCACAGTAACCTTTCCAACATGCATATGGCCTCAATCAAACTCAAAATATTTCCTTGCTGCCTGCCACTCCAGCATAGAAACGGGACCCAGGTGACACAGGTGTCATGCTGCTGGGTCTCCAGCAACAGCCAGGACCTCCCCAGTCCTGGTATTCCAGATATCCTCAGATCTCAGCTGCCCCAGGGGCTGGAGGTTCTGGTCTTCTCATAAAACAAGAACAGTATAGGCATTTGCTTTTCATCAGTGTAATGAAATTTTAGGGACTTATGATCCTAAATGACATTACGCCGATGTGAACTGCACTCAAGTGTTATAAACTAAATTTGCAGAACAAGCAGTTTTTGTGCAATTCTTTGCAGTCTACTCAGCTCTTTCACCTCTGTGTTCAGGTTCAATCCTCATTCGTTCTTCCATGAGAGGTAGTTATCCCCAGATGCGTTCAATGCCCAGCTCCTTGCCCTGGCAGGCCCCGTCCCAGGGTCCTGGATGGCAGACACCATGCCCGCCCCACGAAGCTCACGTCACCGAGCAAGTAAACCGCAGCTGGTTTAGGTAGAGAGCAGCTGCCCACAACTGCTAACAGCCTCGCGTTTCTTTTCCGCAGAATCACTCACCCTAAATCTACACATTGTAGACTATCACATTGGTCTAAGTAGTGCTCCTCAAAATGCACTGCACGTTAGAGTCACCTGGGGAGCTTCACCACCGGGCTCCAGGCTCTGATTCGCCCTGTGGGAAGGGAGCACCGGGCACTTGTCCTGAGCCTTGGCCCCTGCCTGGGTCTGCAAACCCAGAGCGTCCACACACCAGGCTGCCTGTGCTTACCATTGTGTCCTTGAAAAGAGCTAGCTGCACTAATGCCCACTGATTTCACTGTGTGTGACCACAGCAAAGAGAAGCGGCTTTGAGGGATTTAGTGTTTTCACTCCAGTGCATTCCATTCTAAGGAAACGCCTGACCACGGCTCACGGCTAGGAGGCCCCTCTGTGCCAGATGCTGCCCTGGAGTTCAAGTGGAACATTTGCCGTCTGAACGCTTCCAAACTCCCCCCACCCATGACCTCATGGCCCACCAGGCGGCGACTTTTTCCTGGGTCGCCTGGCAGGGAGCTGTGTGGGGTGGGGGGGCTCAGGGGGCAGCTGCTGCCGCTGCAGGCCCAGGCGGACTCAGCCGCTCTAGGTCTGCTCCATCGAGCCCGTCTGTGCACAGTGACCTTTAGGGGAACTTGCCTTGCTTCCTAAGCCGCGACTCAGCCGGGGCTGTGTAAACTCTCCCTGCCTGGTCCCAGGCTAGGCTGGCTCCTCGCCTCCTTCCTCCCGACCGCGGAGCAAGTGCACTTTACCTGCGCACTTGCTGGTCTTTCTCCGGGAGTTAGTGTAAGGTCCGAATCTCCGCTCTGGATGGTGAGCGGAGCACAGCCTTCGAAGTGAGAACTCAGGGAAAGCTCCGCGCTGCAGCAGCGGGTCCCCCACCCAGGCACGCCCCCGACTGGGCCCCGCCCACGCCACGCCCCTCCCGGCCACGCCTACAACCCGGCCCCGCCCACACAGCGCCCCACCGGCCCCGCCTACAGCGCGCCCCCTCCTCACCCCGCCCGCAGCCCCCGGCGGCTCGGGCTGCAGCGGAGTCTCGGGCGCGGGCGGAGAGCGGATCCGTCTAAGGCCGCGCCCCGTCTCTCCGCGGGGACAGTTTCCAGCTTCACGTCTGAGGAGGCGGCTCAGGACCGCAGACAGCCTTTCCCTACGAACAAAATGCGCAGTGAACATTCTGTTCCCTTCCGAGCTCTCCCAGCGAGGCCCTCCAGCCAGGATGCCACGGTTACACCTGCCGACAGCCCCTCCTGCAGCACAGACACACACGCGAGATACACAGACACACACAGGTACACACAGACACACACAGATACACACACACACAGACACAGAGATAGACACACGATGTACACAGACACAGATACACACAGAGACACAGCAGTACACAGACATGCAGATACAGGACACAGAATCACAGATGACACACAAAGACACACGCAGATACACACACAGACACACACACGAGATTACACACAGACACACACAGGTACACACACAGACACAGAGACACACACACAATGCACACAGACACAGAGATACGCAGATACACATACACACACAGATACACACAGAGACACAGCAATACACAGACACACAGATACAGGCCACAGAATCACAGATGACACACAAAGACACACGCAGATACACAGAGACACACAGGCACAGAGATACACACAGATACACTCACAGAGATACACACAGACACAGACACACAGAGATATATACAAATACACAGACACACACAGGTACAGACACACAGATACAGATATAGAGATACAGAGATACAGACACACACAGATACACAGATACACGGACACATACAGAGATACACAGGCACAGATATACACAGACACAGATACACACACACAGATACACGCACACAGATACGCACACGCAGACACACAAATACAGATATACACACACAGATACAGACACACACAGATACACACGCAGAGATACAGATACACAGACACACACAGATACGCAGAGATACACAGATACATAGACACAGACATACACAGATACATGCACAGACACACAGATACAGACACAGAGATACACAGATGTACAAACACAGATACACAAATACACACACCCACAGACACACACAGATACAGGTAGACACACACAGATACACAGACATGCAGATACACACAGATACACAGACACACAGACACACAGATACAGACACACACACAGCTACAGTGGCCAGGTCCTGCACAGGAGTTGGCAGGAAGTGAGGGGCTGCATCCGCAGTGTAACAGCACAGCTGAAAGAGGTCTCATGCCTTGTAACAAAGCACATTGCATAGGGACAGGGTGGGCCGGGGCTGCCCTGGGAGTAGGGATGGAGGATGACCTCAGCATGGCAGGCTCCAGAACACCCAAGTTCCCAGCCAGGGGCCTGACTGCAGGAAAGCCCGAGATCTCTGAGATCACATTTGCTGTCGCGTGTGCAGACGCATCAGTTCAGACCGCCGTGTGCATTAGGTGTGGACATGGCTGGCAAGCAGCCTGGACGGTGACCCCATCCTTGTGGGATGGTGGCGCCAGGGAACCCGTGACCACCGACACACCAGTTCCTGTCCCAGAAATACTGTCTCATCCTCGCTCATCACTGCACCTGCTCCCCTCCCAGTGCCTCAGGGACACTGTTACAGGGCAGGGAGAGGCCAAGACACAGAGCCCGGGGGAGGCTCCCTGGGCAGGCAGAAGGCTCTTGGTGTGCACACGGATCTGTCAAAACGAGGGCTGTGAAACGCCAGCAGGACAGCTGCCACCAAGCGTGTGGCTCTCTGTGCCTTGCAGGTCACAGTTCTTTGTGTAACTGCTGAATGTCTGGGGAGGGAGCAACCCTACCCCAGCTCCAGGGATAGGCCCTGAGTGGCCACAGTAATGGAGAAAACCCACTTCCATGCCAGGGACTGGCTTGGGTGAGCCAAATCTAAGTGTCCTAGCCCTGGAGGCAGCTGTGCGGTGATGAAGCCCCTAGCCCCGGGAGCAGACAGGCACCCACATCCAGCACAGCCACATGCTCACTGTCTCCGGCTTCTTAGCTGACATCAGTCCGTCCCCTTGGTTGTCGGAGTCAGGGTCAGATGGGGTTTCATTTTCTGGTGGCGGAGAGTGAGTGCTGCCCGCAGATGCATCAGCGGAAGCCTGTGTGTGACTCCAATGCCAAACTTGCCTTCGAGGGGCACCGCGCTTCTTCAGTTAGAAGTGATTGGGGCCAGTCTCAGAAATGACATGGTTTCTCCTAAGCTGAGCATGAAGATTGGGGTCCCAAACGAGATATGATATCGAATTATACTTTTCTTGGCTGGCCCAGAAATTCCAGAAGGAAATCCCAAAATAAGGCCCCCGCTAAATGTTCTTCGCAAAAGAACAGCATCATCGGAATCAGATATAAAAGCAAAAGGTGGCTACTTCCAAGCAGAGGGCTGGGATGTGGTGTGGCTTTTGTGTGCATGTGTGTGCAAATTTTATGTTTGTGGGTGACCCAGTGAAGGTACCCTTGGCTTCTTGCCCTGGACAGGCAGTTGTGACTCGGAGGACAATGGTCCAGGAGAGTGAGAAGGTCTCCGAATTGGGCAGGCCTGAGGGTGCAGGGAAGGGCTGCTTCCCTGGACCACAGCATCCAGAGAGAAGAAAGCGCCTCCCGGCCCAGCCCTCCAGCCCCGTCATGGGGAAATCTGTCTGCAGCTTCCCTTTGTGAATACCTCCCCAGGGGTCCCCGGGGCCACCTGCTGTGCAGGCCTCTGCAGTCCCCAGTCTCTGCCTGTTCCTGCCATGGTTCAGCCCACAAACCCTATGCACCCGCTCCTGCCCGAAATTGGCTTGATTCAGCAAGCATTTTATCAAGCTCCCAGATCCCGTGGGTCTGGAATTCAGAAAGGCACAGTGGAAACAGCTCATCTGCACCCCACTGCAGTCAGGGCAACGTGAAGGCCAGAAATGACTTGAGTCTGGAGGATCCGGAGGTGCACTTGCTCACTCTCGGGTGGGTCTGTCGGCTCCTCCATGTGGCCCCTGCACCAGCTCTTGGACTTCCTTACAGCATGGCAGCTGGTGCCCAAGAGACAGGAAACGGAAGTCACCAGTTCCTTAGGGCCTGCGCCCAGGACTGGCAGGCACCATTTCTGTCATATTCTATTGGCCAGTCAAGGAGCCCAAGGAAGGACACAGACACCAGTTCTTGAGGGGAGGAATGTCAAAGAACATTGGAGCCGTGTTTTTCGTTTTTGTTTTTGAGATGGAGTCTCACTCTGTTGCCAGGGTGGAGTACAGTGGCGTGATCTTGGCTCACTGCAACCTCCACCTCCCAGGTTCAAGCAATTCTCCTGCCTCAGCCTCCTAAGAAGCTGAGACCACAGGCAGGCGCCACCATGCCCAGCTAATTTTTGTATTTTTAGTAAAGACGGGGTTTCACTATGTTGGCCAGGATGGTCTCAATCACTTGACCGCCCACCTCGGTCTCCCAAAGTGCTGGGATTACAGGTGTGAGCCACCGCACCGGCAGGAGCCATATTTTAAAGTTACCACAGCCAAGGATGCAGGAGCTGAATAATGAGGGCTTGGTGCTAGCTTCTGAACTTAAATTCTGGACTTTAAAGGCATGTTTAAATGTAATGAGCTGTGGAGTCACAGGAACTCCCAGTCATTGCTGGTGGGACTGCAAGATGTATAGCCACTTTGGAAGACAGTTGGGCAGTTTCTTACAAAACTAAACACTCTTAGAATATGATGCAGCAACCAATGCTCCTTGATGTTTACCTAAATGATTCGAAAACTTACGTTCACACAAAACCTGCACCCGGGTGTTTATAGCAGTTTTATTTGTCATTGCCAAAACTTGGAAACAATCAAGATGCCTTTCAGGAGGGGAATGAATAAACAAACTAGGGTGCATCCAGACAATGGAATATTTATTATTCGGAGCTAAAAAGAAATGAGTTACCAAGCCATGAAAAGACACACAGGAGCCGGGCGCGGTGGCTCACGCCTGTAATCTCAGCACTTTGGGAGGCCGAGATGGGCGGATCACGAGGTCAGGAGATCGAGACCATCCTGGCCAACACGGTGAAACCCCGTCTCTATTAAAAAATAGAAAAAAAACTAGCGGGGCGAGGTGGCGGGCGCCTGTAGTCCCAGCTACTCGGGAGGCTGAGGCAGGAGAATGGCGGGAACCTGGGAGGCAGAGCTTGCAGTGAGCCGAGATCGTGCCACTGCACTCCAGCCTGGGCGACAGAGCAAGACTCTGTCTCAAAAAAAAAGAAAAGAAAAGAAAAGAAAAGACACACAGGAATCTTAAATGCAGATTACTAAGTAAAACAAGCCAATGTGAAAAGGCTACATATTGCCTGATTCCAACTAGACGACCTTCTAGAAAGGTCAAACTATGGAGACAGTATAAAGATCGGCGGCTGTCGGGGGCTAGTGGGGAGCGGAGGGATGACTTGGTGGAGGGGGTTTCAGGGCAGCGGCCCTAGTCTGTATGATACTGTAAGGCGGATTCAGGGCATTAGACATTCGTGCAAACCCACAGAAGGCACTGCCGGAGCGAGCCCTGATGTAATCCGAGGCCTCTGGCTAATGCTGGTGTGTTGGTGTAACCCGTGGACCAATCTGGTGGGCAGTGTGTGCAGTGGGGCAGGTTACATGTGTGGGATGGGTATATATGGGACTTCTCTCTACATCTGATTAATAACGTCTTTCTTTTAATGAATTAGAGGAAAATAAAGTCTCATTTGTGTGTGGGGGAAAAAATCAATTTTGAAAAGTGACTGGGATAGGCGGAAACTCCAGGACCAACTCAGGAATAAAAATGGTCATA